CTGGAAGCTGAAGCCAGACAAATTCAAATGAGAAATAAAACACAAGTGTTTAACCGTGCGTGTGATTCACTATTGGAATACATGGCCCAGGGAAGTGGTGGATTCTCCATTTCTTGATGTCTTCAAATCAAGACTAGATGCTTTTCTAGAAGAGATGCTTTAGCTTTACCAAGCACAAGTTACTGGGCTCAATACGGGGGTTACTGAGTGAAATTCTATGGCTTGTTTTATACAGGAGTCAGACTAGATGATCTAATGGTCCCTTCTGGCCTTAAACTCTATGAATCTAAAAAACCCCAAAGAAGTAATTTCTCATACCAACTCCCATTTCACACATAAATATTATTGCTTTGTGTTTCGGTACCTCTTATAAAGAGTGAATTATTTCACTAAGCACTGGGGTAAATCACCTGGTACTAGGATTCAGTGAAAAATCACAGTAGGTTTATCCTTTGGGGATGAAGAAAGAAGGTGTTTGTGCAAATGGCCATCGTTCTGCCCAGTCATTCTTTTAAGTACTGTCCTCTCACTAACAGAGAGGATACTTGGTTGAGGTGGGAGGAGAGAGACAATTTCACAGGCAGTAGAATCTGTACTAACGCTACCATAATAGAGAGTCCAACATATCTCTCAGAATGTTGTTCTCAAATAATTATAGTCAGAGATGTATACAGTATACAACCTAAAACTGACATCCTCTGATTCAACTTATCTTCTTCCTGGTTGTGTACATGTGGCTGAGTCACATCTACCAACTTTACAGACATAAACAAATGTTTGTTCCATTTAGCGCCATTGAAACCTCACAACTATGGGAGAGCGAGCTGGAGTCTGTTCTGACTCAGGCATCAGAAACAGAATTGTCAGGTAATCACTGACTGCAATAGTTACCAGAACTGGCGTGTCACTCTGAAAGAACTCAATTTTCTGATGCCAGGAGGAGTTTATCCCACTAACGGTTAAAAAATAATCTTTTGACTTACATACTTAGTCTAGTAGATCTGAAATCATTGGAAGGGAATACATATAAATAAGGAATCTTGTGTCATTATTATTACTGTTATTTTTCTTTTTAAGTGAGTCACTTTCCTCACTTTAACTGCAATTTTACGTTGCATTTGGGCGGGGTGGGGGTGGAGAGGTGGTAGAGGGACGCAAGCAATACAATTTGGATCCAGATTTCAAAAACTTGAACATTTTTGGGATGTTCAGATCCAGGTTTTTGGTTTGTCTGATTATTTAAGTAAAGGCTGTTTGATCTGCAGCTAGGACTGGATTTTGGAGTCAAAGTTCAGACTCATGAGGGATCTACATTACATTATATCATAAAACTAATAGGGTTTTTCTGAGTCCCCCGCCCCCCCAATGCACACACACATCCACACCTACACACCATATTTTAAGTTGAGGATGAGGATGGCTGAAGACTGGCTTCCTTGGTTAAGCCTCTGACTAGTCATCCTTGTTTTCCAATTGTCAAGTTGCATTTCTTTAGATTGAAAACAGGAATAGAAGGAGAGAATAACTGGATTCTTTTCAACCCTGAATGCTTCAAGTTTACAAAGGCAGCGAAGTTTCTCTCTGCAGTGACCTTGGGCAGCTTGGAGCTCTTCTCAAATGATATAAGAGGTGTGGTTTTTCCTTCATTAGAGTCTCTCTGAACAATTTTCTGTGCTTATACTGAGGCCATGAGATCCAAAGAGACCGGGCAAACAGAGCAGCAATTTACATCAACAAAGAGGATTTTGATGCACTCCTCCGAATGGGCAGCATTACCATGTTAATAGCCATTTGCTCTCAGCCCTCTTTTCCTAAGGACGCTGGAGACTTTTGCAAATGGAGAACAGTTCCGCTTTCCATTTTAATTGCAACAATAGCAGAAGAGATCCTTAAACTGCATCAAATAGCAGCCTGTGAAATCCCTAACTAGCTGCACCGCCTCTCCTGCTATTTATTATCCTCTGGTCCATGGAACAAAGCGGGGAAAAGCTCCTCCTGCTTTTAGCCCGTTTCACATATCCTAATCCCTCAGAGGCGGCAATGGGAATTGCTTGTGGAGCTGTTAAATCAAACTTTCACTTTGTCTTTTATTCCCCCCTCCTCCTTTATAATCAAGGAGTTTCCAGGTACATTTTCAATGTCAATTTGTTTATGGCCTCCTGGTTAATAGACTAATGATGGGACCCCCACAGTTAGAGGAAAGAATCCTGGGCATTTCATTTCAGACAGCTGCTGTTTCTCACCAGTTCCCACACTCATCCCCTTGTTCTCTTGTCAGACACCCTGAATGTGCTCCCCTTCCTGACACCGACTGCCGTGCACAACAAAGACTAAATGGAAAAGCTGCCTCTGCTATCAGCCTATGGGATAGATTCCATTTGTTAGCAGTAAGTTGCCTTTCAGCCAGCAGCACAGGTACCATCTCTCGCCAGACATGCCTCAGCTAGCTGCCTGTCACCCATTACTCAGCATCTAGCCTCTCTTCAGAAAGAAGCACAGGTTCTACCTCTCCCATAGTTTCCAGGCACTTTTCAGGCAGAAACCTGGTCTCCCCTTGTACTAGATACCCAGTTACCTCTTGGCTAGCAGGTTAGGTATCCTCCTATCTGACACTCAGCATTTCCAAATGTTTTGTTACACTCCTTCCTCTGTGTTTTGAGCAGTAACAAGCCCATTTTTGGTGCTCAGAACAGAATAAACGAAACAACAACAACAATAATAATAATAGTAATAATAATAATAGTAATAATAATAATAATAGTAATTTGGGGGCTGAATGTAGAACACTCACTCACAGGAGTAACCCCATTCAAGTAAATGAGACTCTACTCATCTGAGAAAGTGCTCACAAGTGTAAGTAAGTGTAAACAGGGCCTTAGTGCTTAGACACCATTTCTCAATAACACTGAACTCATTAAAAAGAACCGAGAAGAACAGAGGTGGATTACATAAAAGCACAGACTCAGATTGAGTCCTGTGACATCTAAGGTTCAGACACTGGAGTCTGATCTCTGGTTAGGAGGTTAACTACTAAATGGAATAGACTGTGGCAAATTACTAGGGAAAACAGGACCTTGTTTTCCTCCCTATCTTTAATTAAAGTCAACTTTCCACAGCAATAAGAAAGGGAAAATAACAAACAAACAAACAAACAAGGATCTGAAATTATAACTGCCTGGTCAAAATCTAATATGTGGATAAAATAAATATGAGTTTCAAACTGCTTTTGAGATGTGTAAAGAATGTATGACAAAGGATTTGTTTAGATTAATCTGGGTTTATCTTTTATCCTCCTTTTTTTTTTAAAGTGATTTAACATTGTACACCTGGAGACAAACAATAAAGTGCAAAAAGCAACTACCATCTCCCTGCAACAATGCAGTCTAAAAGCCAGCTATAAGAGGCTCCTACTCCACGATCATGGTAAATGACCAAGCCAATTTGTTCCTCTGAAAGGGCAGAATCCAATCAATGGGGAACCTGTACTCCTGGTTGAAGAGAGTGGACTCAAACAAACAAAAATATTCATCAGACAAACACTTCCATGTTCTGACAGAAGAGACCTTTGGGAAGGAATGATTTTCAGTGTTAGTGTCTGGGGATAGATACATCAGGAGATGGGTCCACTTTGCTAATTATGGTTAGAATGATCCTCCAGAACTATGAAGATGTTTGGGACAGACATAAAATAGCCCTTTCTTTTACTCTGGGCTGGGTCTAAAAATATCCATACCCACCCCTACTAGCCTACTCCACTTAAAGTAAAGAAAATTGTTCCTGACTTCTGTAGCCTGTTTAGGTTACTGATACCAAATGAGGCAGGTTAAGCTTTCAACATCAGTAAGAATGCATTGGATATAGTGTCCAACTGTTTAGAGAGCAACTAGTGGACCCCACAAACAAGCACACAACTGAGTCAAACAAACAAAAATGGATACATTGCATTGAAAATCATCTGAGTACCCTTTTTCTCTGACCATTGTAAATTGCTATTATTATTTGTATTAACATAAGTAGAACCTACAAGCCCCAGTCATGGACCAGGAAAACACAGTGCGAGGTTCTGTAAAAAGACCAAACAAAAAGATAGCCCCTTCTCCAAAGAGCTTACAATTTAAGTTGCCACAGATCCAAGCCTATCCTAGCAGAATCCAGCCATAGATAAACACACCATTGAGTCTGGGAGTATGGCTTTTTGGTATGTAGTTAAATACAAGGCTTACACTGTTTCATAGGATCAGCTAGACCAGTGATTTCCCAGCCACTGAAGACTGAGGAATTGTGAGACTGAGGTTTTTAAACAATATCTGCTCCATAGCAGGTCAGATTGCATACATCTGAATGGGAGGGGCAGGCACCGATAGGTCTACCTTAAGAATTTATTCTGGTAATTTGGATCAATTAGGAAAATGGGTGGAAATCAACCAAGACCAGTTCACCAAAACATGGATTCAGTACGGTGAGTCCACTTTTTTAAACATATCAACAAATGAGTAGACCACTCCCTATTATACAGAATCATAGGTGTATTTATGGCCAGATGGTCTTCACCTTAAGGTAATCACAACAAGACATGTATAAGAAAGGAGAGTGATAATGATTTCCTGTGTTTTTATTGGTCTCAGTCTAATGGCTACGAGGGGACAATCTAATATTGCATATTTTTATCATATTTCAAGACATGTATGTTTCTCCAGGAGAAGTATACCTACTGGAGAGATGCTACCAGAATAATTTGGTTTTACCTTGAATGAAAACTGGGAGACTTGATTAATTGCTTCACGGCTCATCTGCTCTCAGATATATGGAAATACGCAGCAACCCAATACAGTATAATTCAAGACAGTACAACGAAAGGAGCAGTGGGAGTGTGCTTGTCAGCCAGCTTGCTCTAATACATTATTTTAATTAGTTATCAAGGCACTATTTTAAACAATCACAGTGTTTCCTGCCTTCAGCCTACTTAAAACACCCATTGGTAAAACAATTTGTGATCTTACCTTGAAGAACCAGACCAGAATTTTCAATGGTGTAGAAGAAAGCTGAGAATGGAGCAACGGGAGATTTAGCAACCAGGACCTGCAGAACAACAACAAGAAATCCCTAAAATGTATTGATTACAACTCAAGTTTGTGGATTAATCTTTGTAGATTTACTTTTCTGAAACTACTACCATGAGTTAAAGTACAAGGTACAGTATGCTGCAGAGGGACTATAAAATGGCCATTGATTACGTCTCTTCAGTTCTAAAGTATCCGAGATTCTTATGAAAAACAAGTACAGATCATGCTGGCATTTTAAAAGGATTCATGGGTCTTGCAAGAACTTCATGGAAGTGTGCAGTTCATGGAAACTGCACACTCTCCCCCCATTTCTCTACTTCTCACAAGTGTTTATTAACCCTGGTCAAATATCATGAACTCTCTTGCTGGTGCAGTCAGTTGTACCCAGAGGGCTTCAGCTGAGTGAAGGCTGGTGGCACCACCAGTGCCTGACTTTCCTGGAGGGTTTTCTGAGTAAGAACTGCTTTAATCTCCACTGACGGCTCCAGAGATGCACATCCTGGCCACTCTCTATTCCATCCCAGTGGCACTCACCTTTAAGGCTGTGCTGCTCTGCTGTGTGTTCCCTGACAGCAGGGCACTTGAATTTAGCCTAGTATTCGACTGTGTGAGCTCTAATCTGCAATCAGGTCTAGGATGCTCCAAAGCCCAGTCTTAAAGCTGCCTTAGCTCCATTACAGGTTTGACCACACACCACTGAAGAGGAGATGGGCTGTGCCATAGCTCTGATACACAAGAGACAGGCTTATCATTAAGGTAGAGAGTTGTAGCTTAATGTACCAGTCACCAAAGCCTGATGTATCACTGGCTTTTTGTACCACAGGTTGAGGATCACTGACTTACAACATACACTGAAAAAAGAGAGATCTCTATCACCGCTCTGAAACGTGCCAAGCACTGCATGAAGGGTAATCAGCCCAAATCCTGAACCAATGATTCCTGCATGGACACTGCAGGAGAAGGTGACACTGACAGTTGTTGGTAAACACTTGAATGCTCACTGCTTTTCTTCCTCCCAAGAAAGGAAAGAAACTGGAAATCAGGTTACCAGCCTTTGGTTTTCAGAGCAGTGTTCCCAGCCTCACAACTCAAAGGGCTCCATTTAAGTAGGCTGCTGATCCAAAGCACATGCTTTAAATGCAGCGATGTCATGCCCATGTGTCTATTATACCGGGTCTGACTGCTTTGTCTATTTCTTTATGTATAAATTCCTTTTAGCAACAACTATAAGGCCCTCCTAGCAGCATGTTTTAGGGCCATTCTTCTTAGGGATTAAAGTCCTGAAGCCATGTGTCTTATAAAACCCCACATCTCCCTCTGCTCCAGGATGTGCAAAAAGCTCTGTCATTTCTCAATGCCTGTTAAATAACACAGCCAGGTGCAGAGTTATCCCTTGAAATCTGCATGTTTATTACAGTTCATACAATAATGGCTTGATGCAAAGAGATACAGCTCCCACTGATTTCAACTGGAGTTGCGAGTGCTGAATACTTCTGAAAGTCAGGACCCAATTCAGCAAAACATACAAGCATGGATTTAACTTTAAGTTAACTAAGTTGGGGATTGCTGGACAAGCAATTTAGCTGGATGTTTTTGCTAAAATGATCAGAAGGAAAATATTTAACCATTTTTATGCCACCAGATTTCAAAGACAACATTCCATGGGTAATGAGGGAAGTTCACCCCACTCAGAACTCTTATTTAAGATTTGACTGTAAACTTGGGCAGACAAGACTGCATCATTTTACACTCATATGTGTTTGGAAAGTTTCTTCACAAATGCAAGGGCTAGGAGTTTAACAATATCGGCAATGAAGGCTTATATTCTGGAGCACAACTCGGCAGCAAGAGGTGGATTGTGCAGCTGAAGAATCATACGACACTTAACCTTCCAACAAGTGTTTGTCACAATTTGGAGTGTGATTAAGACCAGTTAGAGGTGGTATCACCACTTGTCCTGTAATCCCAAATATCTTAAAATGCTCTGCAGATGTAGCTTCATGTCTGGATGCTCCCAGCTAGCATACAAGTACGCACCAAGTGTCTGTGTGTTGAGCAACCCTGGTTCAATGCTCTGACCCCAGCAGCCTGCCTACAACACAATAGCCCCACTCTTGTCTCCACCAGTCTTTGGTTACTACTTTTAGGGTGACCCCAACACACCCCCAGTCCCGAATTCTCCCAAAATTATCTGCCCTGAAGTGGCTCAGCCCTCTCCTGGAATACCCAGAGAAGCAAATAAAGGTCATTGCTCCTCTAAAGAGATATAAGCACAGCTTATTACTTTAAGTGGAGTTAACAATCACTTCAGTTCAAACACAGCACTGGGTTGGTTTAGATTAAAAGTAAAATGGTTTACTTAACAAAAAGAGATAGGTTTTCAGTGAGATCAAGTGCAAAGAATACAGACAAAATGGTTACAAGCACATAAAAATAAAATATGTTTTTTAGTGGTGAAGACTCAACAAACTACAGCCTTGGTTCAAGGTAGATTTCTCGCTAATCTTTTTACATCCAATCGTGGCCGACTTTCTCTGAGTCAGGACCTTCATAAGTACAAGGTGCTGGTTTCCCTGGTCTTCCTAGGTGAAAGATCTTTGCCTAAGCAGGTTTCTCACATATATTCAGTTCCCAGGGACTTCAACCCCTTTGGACGAAGGGCCCATCTTTCTCAGCTTGCAAGAGCTCTGGCTCCTTGTGTCTGTCCTGTGATGGATGTCAAGATGGCTTCTTCTTGTATTCACTGTATTGTCCCCAGACTCAGGATACTATTCTTATCTTCCTGTGGACTTCCCACCCTTCTGCTGATTTGTATATGTAAATGGGGCTTCCATTTTTTCTGGTCCCACCTTCCTTAATTTCACTGGAGACAGATAGATAGCTGCCTTCCCTCCTCTCTGGGGGAAAACCTGTTTCCATCTTTGTTTGGTCACAGACTTTAAAGCATAATATTAGTGAGTATCTATAATTCCTCACATAGTGTTAATACATACATTTCACAATGAAATTAATCATGAATGTGTCACCAGTTTGCGTATGATACCTTACATGATCCATTTTAGATATACATTATGACAACAGTGAGTTGGGGTACACTGGGCTGGTCAGACCATCTGAAACTCACTGCTCTGTACCAGGGAGTCCCTTGCCATATGGCACTGGGGTGCTCTTAGGGTCACGGTGTTGCATGGCACAGTAAAAGCCAAGGAGATCTATACAGTAGCTATGCTCTATTTATCTTATAGGTCAGCACACAGATCATATTCAGATTTCTTGTGACCCAGTCTCATATTATTCTGATAAAGGCAGCAAAAAAAAAAACCTCCTGACATCTGGTCTTTAAACCTAACCAGGATGATCCACATTTTCTCTACTTCAAAACTAGGTTCAATCTTATGGTCTTCAGAATTTATATGTAATGTTTGTTGGCCTGGCAATTTACCCTCACTAGTAAGGTATGAAATAAAGGCGGACACACAAATACAGCACGTACAGCCAAAGAACATCGGGTCAGTCACCAGCATCAATGTTTTGCTTGAGCCATGAGAAGTCAGCAAAGCCATCTCAGGATGCAATGTAACCTTTGTGACCTGCTCCATGCAGGAACACCCCGCAAAGCAAGCACTTTCCCCTCCTGCACATTAATTATTGTTCTTACTGTAACAAGCTGCTGGAGAAAGAAGTGTGTTAGAGATCGTGTCTGTGATTCATCCTGACAGTATCAGAATTTCCTTTCCTGTACTTCCCACCCCCCATCTTTCACTTCAATGTTCCAGCTCTTCTCAATTGAATGTGGGGAGGGAGAGAAGCCATAGAAATAATAAAAAAAAAAAAGGTGCCACCATATTTGTCCTTACCATGCTTGTTGCATACTACTATAGTCTGAAAACAGTGTTCATTCTTATTCATCTGGGGTCAAACTGAGACAAAAAAACAGTAATGATGCTCTACTACAGTCTCCCCCAGAACTGCAGGATGTTTCTGTTAAACAGATCTACAGATAAATAGTTTAGAAATTTGACATTTAAGGTCAAATTATCAGTACTCTGTGCAAAATCGGGGGCACAATTGCTAATCTATATTTGCATGCACATTAATTGCATGCACAAATGGACAGACATCCAAATGACCATTTGTGCATTCAGTTACCATAGTTTTATGCACAGTCTTGGTATGTGCATAAATAAGTGTAAATCTGCATATGCGTGCACACTTTCACAGGTACACCACAAGTCTCCTTTGAAAAATTTGCCATAAATTATCATTTGGGTTCAGAGTTAACATTCCATTCAGAAGAATGGGGGCAATTCATGCCAGGCAAAGCTTTTGTTTAATTTTACATTTCTGCAGATTCAGAAAGACAGCTTTGCACAGTCTTATTTTAAAGGTTATCTTTCCAACCAGAAAGGCTAGATATTCATTTTTTTCAAATGAAATCTTAAATTTTACATGAACATAGTTTTGCAAAGTATTCCTGATTGATATGCATATATGTACCTATTCAACCACCAGATTAGGAGAACAGAGGACAGGAATACAGAATAGCACCCAGGACTATCCCTGAGTTTGAGGCAGTACACAGCATTCCATGTCCCTGAAGGGAGGTGGGGAGTACAACCCTCCCAGCCCATCTCATACACACAGGGCCCAATGGACTGGGACCACCCAAACCAGCAACCTCCTTGATATCCCTCATGTGATTAAGGATTTGCAGGATGATGGAGTAAAAGGAGGAAGAGGGAAGCTTGCTATTTTCCAGAAGTTAATTTATGGGTAAATGGCTCTCATTACCACCTTGCTCAGGAATACTTGTAGCTAGCACCGGTTTCTCTCACCGGAGGTAGAATGTTCAGGTGGCCAGCTGAAGGGTTTTGGCCAACTAGATAAGGTTTCCAGTACAACAAAGGTTCAGGAACATTTGAGCAGACAGATCTAATGGAGAAAACGTGCCTTAGAAATGCCCAGGTAATGTTAACTATAGATGTTACCCCAGCTTTAGTCATTCCCACCCCAAAT